TTTTTTGGTACCAGGAATTGAACTCAGGACTTTGAGCTTGCCAGACAGGTGCTGTGCTGCTAAGCTATATCCCTGGTATCACTGACCCTACTCCATTTATTTTCACTGTAAGGCAATATTCTGGCAGCTAGTTACTAATCTATTTTTTCTAGTTACTAATCTATTTTTTAGTTTTTTTCCCAAGTAGTTACTAATGTTTTTTTTTTTTTTTTTTTTTTTTTGGTACTCGGAATCAAACTCAGGGCCCCGAGTTGCCAGGCAAGCACTGTGCCTGCTGAGCTACATCCTTGGCCCACTAATCTATTATTTTTATATTTTGTGGCACTGCTGAAATTTTCAATGGATTCAGGCATTGGAATCTGAGGATAAGGATTTGAGTTTTGCATACTAAGGCTCCTAGGCCCTTGTGTTTCCTGTTTTATACAAAAGAAATATAGACAGGTAAAAAGAACAAAATAGATTTGGGCAAATTGATCGAAACAAAAAGTGTTCTATCAAGCAGATTACATTGAGTGCTGTTTACAATAAATCTTCTCTCATGTTTCTTTTCAGTTCAGAGTCTCCTCTCTGTACAGCAAGCAAACCCTACGATTTGATTGGTAAGCTATCATGTATTTTGTGGTATTTCCCTCAGATTGTTGTCTGAGATCATTTTTTTCAAATGTATAGACATTCTGTGTCTGAGTTTAATTTTACCTTTGTAACTGTTCATTTTCTATTGAGATATACAGTAACTGGGTCAGGATTCTTTTCTCATGAGTGATAAAATTTCACATGAATTTGGGATGGAAGGTTTCAATATATGGGAATAGCAAATCTCAGAGTAGATGATTTTCTAACCAAAGTTAGTATGTTTGCAGTTGTTGTCCCCTGTGGTGTATGTTGTGGAACGTGGTCTTCCCCTGCAGCCATTTAACAGTTAACCTTATGAGTTGTACTTATTGGGTAACATCTTTAGAGTAAATACCTGCAATGTATAGCTGTAACTGTCATGCATGTGATCCCAGCACTTAGCAGGCTGAGGCGGCAGGATTGCCATGAGTTCGAGGTCAGCCTGAGCAACATAGTGGGTTCAAGACCAGCCTGAACTATATAAGAGCCCTTGTCTTAATAAAACCAAAAGAAAAGTAAGTACTTCTTTGGCTTGCTTCAAAGTTAAAACTTACTTCTGTCTTTAATCACAGTAACTGTCTACCCTTAGGTCCTAACTGACTCTTTGAACCTTGGTTTTCCTTATCTGCAAAATGGACATCATATTTTATTATTAGGGATGTTGTGAGAATGAAATGTAGTAATCTGTAATCCTCACCCAGTAGCAGCAGATACATAGGAATTAGTCCTCCTTTCCTCAGTGCAGATATTTAGAATAAGACATTCAAGGATTTGGTTTAGCCTTGCTTTCAGCCTCTGTCCTTTTCATGTCTTCCCTTTCTCAGGTATAACTCATTCCTTATAGGCTACCCTGGCCTCTCTGCCTTCTTGCTGTGAAGCAAGAGGTGGCTGAGGAGCTCACATAGTTCTGTGGCCTAAGCATAGTTTTCCTTGGGCCTGCGTGGACACATTAGCCAGAGGATGGCCTGTCACACCCAGCAGGACTTGTGTGGGCTGGAGGGTGCTTGCCTCTGATCTAGCTTTCCCAAAGCTCTTGTTTTCTGTGACTAAAAAAAGTCACGGGGGGCTGGGGATTTAGCTCAGCAGAAAAGCGCCTGCCTGGCAAGTGCAAGGTCGTGAGTTCAGTTCCCGGTACCGGAGAAAAACCAAAAAAAAAAAAAAAAAAAAAAGTCACGGGGTCTGGACTATTATTAGTTCCCTGAAGATTAGGTAGAGACATTTGACAATGTGAGAAATTGTGGAGAACTGCTAAGTATAAATATGCAGTAACCAAAACTTTTTTTTCAGAGAATTTTAACCTTTAGTCTCAGTTGATACCTTCAGTTCCTCTTACCTTCTGATAGCATAATGTAACAAAGTTCACCAAGCCAAAGTTAAAAAAAAATCCACATTTTAAAATTGGAAACGTGTAGAACATATTGGCATTTCAAAGCCACTGGATTTATCCTATAATTGGTTGAATTGCTTTAAACCCTGGAAGGTGGAGGTCACTGGTATTTCTCATGGGGTGGAAAACTGAGGCCAGAGGTATTCCGAAAAAGCTTTACCCAAAATTAATCAGTGGAACAGCTCCAGCAAGTTCCCTCATCCAATGATATGGTGGTAAATTTAATTTATTAGGTGCAAAAAAGAGTGAAAACTTAGCTCGAGCCGCGATACTTCTTCCTCCTTTCGCATAGTTATGTGCACTTGCTGCTCTTCACACTCCATCTTGGGTCTCTTCACTGGGGAGTTCTGCGAGGACAAATGAATGGTTTATAGGGTGTTTTTAAAAAACTATTAGCATTTACAAAATAGAGTCACAGAATCCTAAAAGCTTAATCTGTATTTGCGTGTATCTTAGAATTCAAAAAACCTCGGAAAAGTGAACGTGACCTTCTTCAAAATTTAAATTAGAGCCCAGCGTCTTGATTCCAAAGGAGTTCCATCCTCTGCCCTTCAGCTCATTGGGGATCTCCTCTGTGAACGGTTAGTAATTATTTGAAAATTTAATGTGGTATAATTCTCATTGTGATTTCCCCCTAGAACTTATGTTTAGATTAAATGTGTTTTATAATTCTTATTTATGTAGATAGTAGAGAGAGATTGGATTACATGGAAATTTTAGGGCAAGCCTATATGGATAATGGATCTTTTTGAGAGCCTCACTCAATTGCTTTGTTGTTACCACTGCAGAGAGGCCAGGAGGGTGGCTTTCTGATGGTCCTACCTCATTGCCCCCTGGGTTTGCCTTTGGTGAACCAGATGTGTGGGGTTGCATCTTGTTTAATTGTCTTCTCCTTTTCTTTTCTTTATTTAGTTTAATTCCTGGGGAGATGCTTCTAAAATGCCTTTGGTAGGCTGCTTTATTGCTAGTATTTAGGACCCTTAGGAAGTATCTGTGAAGTATCTTCAAGGTGTAACTGGTTTTTGGGTTTTGAGTCTGTTGTAAGGTCCTACCTCTTCAATTTATTGGGGATGCGTTGCTACCTGTTAGGCCTAGCCCCTGGTGCTTTGGCACTGTGCAGCAGTATTTTCTGTGACCCTTAGTCAATGTCAGTCTTGGAATATCAGGAAGAATAGCTGATTAGAACAATTATGTCACTTTTGGCTACAGTGGTACCATCAGCAATAACAGTAGCAACAATCACAGCCTCAAAATTGACAAACTGAGCTAACCATTACTAGATTTGTAGTTATAACAAAATCTAAAACAGACCAGAAAATTATGTGTGTGTGTGTGTGTGTGTGTGTGTGTGTGTGTATTTCCTTAATATGGCAATTTTACCCTGAGAGGTTAAAATTTAAAAGGGGTTAGGGAAAAATAGGTAGAAAAAGAGGAAGAGATTAGATGTAAAGCTGGAGGACAAAGAATCACGCTAACTTTGGGAAAGTAGTGCAGAAAATTGGAGGTAAAGAGAGAAGGAAGAGATACAAAGAACAGAACAGACAGAACAACCACCTCAAAGAGGCTGGAAACCACCATCCACACTCATAAAAACAAGATCACACAATGAAGGAGAGAAAAACTAAAACAAAACCGCAACAAAAAACAAACAAGAGAGAGGGCAAAAAAAGTCCACTTCCCGGTTTGCCTCTGATGTCTCTGTTGTCTTATGTAGACAGCATGTGGAGACAGAGTTGAGATCCCTGTTGATTTATCCCAGCAAGATGGCCTTAGCTTTTGGTGGGGTAGTGGATAATCTCGGCGAGCCTGCACTTTCTAGCCGAGAATGGACTGATTCAGCCTACAGCCGTCAGTGTACCTTCTGTGGGCTTGAGTCCAGCTGGGAGTCATTACATGGAGCCAGCAGCTGCTGTGAGTTCTGGGCTCAGCTAGCCCCTCTCCAGGATGGCTCCTGGCCAGTCACTCTCTCCCATGGGAGGACTGAGTCCTCAGCACCCACTGCCAGCTAGTGCAGTCCTTCACATCTGCTGCTCCCCTCCAGTGCTGTCTCTGTGTAGAAGCCTCAGGTTGCCATCAGTCACCGTGTATCTGCAAGTTTGAATTCCTTCTCTCTCTCAGCGAGTCCTGTCTCAGGGAGAAGGTGCTGCCTGCTACCTCGTACTCCTCCTTCGTTGAAGTTTCTCTCTTTACTCTCCTGGGTCTTTTATAATAGACAAAAGGCTTTTTTTTCATAGCATGGTACTTCCTGAAAAAGCACAATGCACAGAAAGGTTAATGGCTTGATTTTTTTTTCTTTAAAAATAGCCACCAATTATAGTTATAAAGTATACTCACAAAGAAATTCTGGGTATTTGGGGGGTGTTGTTTTCTTTTCTTGAGACATGCTCTTGCTATGTAGTCTAGTTTGGCCTTGAACTCACTATGTAGCACAGGCTGGCCTTAAACTCGTGGTGATTCTCCTGCCTCAGCCTCCTGAGTGCTGGGATTACACAAGTGTGCCACCATGCCTGTCTCAAGAAAATCTAGAGACTAAAAAAGTGGTAAGATTTTAACAAATAGCTCTTTATAAGTTAGAAAAAATTTTGATATGTAGTATTTGCCAGTTTCTCAGGTGTAAATACTTCTAGTCAGAACCGTTTTAAGCTACCAATGCTAACATCACTGAATGCAAATCTAGGAAGAGATGGGCAGTATCAGCCGATAAGATTCAGTTCTCACACAGTGCTGAATGGACATTAAAATCACTGACAGCCCAACTATACAGAGTCTTGACCACCGCTAGTCTACAAAATTACCCATATTTGTTCTCATGAGGAAACTTGTTACTGTTTTTTTTTTAAGCAAATCTGTGCTTTGTCATTGAAGTATCTGATTTTAGTTCATGTTTTCAAGCTCTAGTATTATGTGATCACCTCAGAAAGGTATAATTCAATGAATTTATTTGAAAGCTTCCATTGTTTGTTAAACTTAATGCTCTGAAAAGCATACAGTGTAGCATTTAAAAAGTTGTGTGATTCATGTGGATTGTGACTTCAATAACACCTTATATAGAAGTGATAAAAAGATGATGAGTTAATGTGTGTTTATACAGCTTGATGCAGAGTAGTTGTAGGTCTGCCCCTGGGGATGCAAACATCCGTGAGAGAGAGAGGCTTTCTCCATCCTGTTCACATTGTATTGCCAGTGTCTGGCATCACTTGTAGGAATAAACTGCTGAGCCGGGCTAGTTGAGGCATCAAAAGGGACAAAAATGCTTTGTTTGTGGATAGAGGCGTAATGTAAGAAATTCTGCCCAACGTCTGGAAGGAGCCGATGAGGTTGCTGCCCCATGGCCAAATCAGGCAGAATCTCCAGGCCGCTTGAGTAGAGTGCTGCACGAGGACTCTGGGTAGCTAGAAGTACCTCAGATGAGGCTCCTGGCTGCTGGGTTCCCAAAAAGCAGACCTGAGAGCTTTCACTTAAGGATTTTGCTCAAAGTCGAGAGTGGAGGCTCTTCTCTCCTTGCCTGGGTCCTTGTGTTCATGCAGTGATTGATGTCTGAGCAAGGACTTCCCTGGAGGGTATAGGGCGAGAGAGAGCAGCTGGAAGCACAGTGGAAAGATAGTACTTTAGTGAGAAGTGTTTATAGTTTGTAAAGGGATGTCTGTGGCCTGCTGCTCAGAGTAACATCTTTTTTTCTAAATTTTTCTCTTCTCCACAGATCCAATTTCACCATTTGTGCCTAGGCTGCTAAGTGCCTGCCTTTCTCGAGATTCTTGGAGCGGTAAGAAATATGAGAGAGTCATAAAAGAGAAGCATTTTAACATACATATTTTTGACTCAAAAACCAAAATCATGGCAGGTGAAGATTTTCACAGCTAACATGTTAATTTGAACCAGTTAAAAGTCTTGGCTTTTGGCCAAGGAACTAGCTCAGTGGTAGAGCACAGAAGCCCTGAGTTCCACCTCCAGAACCACAGAAGAAAAGTCTTGGCTGTGAGAGGTGCTTGGTTTTTTTTTTGTGTGTGTGTGTTTTTTTTTGTTTTGTTTTTTACCTTTTTTTATTTTAAAAATAAAAGGAAGAAAACATTAACAGACAGACAGCCTTTTACAAAGTAGCAAAAGAGCAGTACAGACAATACAGAGTTACAAAGAAAGTGGTAGGAAATTAACAATGCTTGTTGTATTACATATTGATATCTTCAAAGTGGTTTCTCATGAAAACAGATAGAGACATGCAATATTGATCAACCAAGGACTCATTGACAGTTTCTTTCAGCAAAGAAATAGACGACAGTAGATCAACTATGTTAACTATCCTGTCTATACGTACATACAAAATTTATTCTTCTTTCCCTTCTCTTTTACCACATCCCAGTTACTCTTTACCTTTGAGTGTTTTCCTATCATTTCACAATGTCTATCATACCTCTGAGTTTTTATTAACTCTTTCAGGTTTTACACTAGTGAGACAATGGGGTGCTTGCACATGTAGGTCTGATTTATTTCACTTATGAGTATGGTCTCTACTTGTGACCATTTACCTATAAAAGCCTCGAGTTTATCTTTCTTTATAGCCGAGTAATATTCCATTGTATAAAAGTACCACAATTTTATTATCCAATCCTCGGTGGATGGACATTTGGGTTGCTTCCACCATTTAGCAATTACAAATTGCCCTGCTATGAACATAGGTGCACATATATCACTGTGATATGATGTTTTTAGATCTTCTGGGAAAATACCCAGAAGGGGAATAGCTGGGTTGAGTAGGACCTCTAGTCCTAGTTTTCTGAGGAATCTCCAAAGTGATTTCCACAGTGGTTTCTGCATTCCCAGTCTGCATTCCCACCAGCAGTGGAGAAGGGTTCCTATTTCTCCACAGCCTCGCCAGCATTTGTTATTGGTTGATTTCTTAATGCTAGCCATTCTTACTGGGGTAAGGTGGAATCTCTGTTGTTTTAACTTGCATTTCTCGAATGACTAATGTTGTTGAACATTTTCTCATGTATTTATTTGCCATTTGTGTTTCATTGTCTGAGAAGTGTGTATTCATCTCAGCTGCCCATTTTTGGATAGGGTCTTTGAATTTGGGGGGGCTGATATTTTTTAATTCTTTATATGTTCTAGATAGAAGTCTTTTGTCTGAGGGGAAGTCAGCTAAAATTTTTACAAGTTTGTGGGTTTTCTTTTTACTCTGCTGGTGATTTCTTTAGATGTGCAGAAACTTTTCAGTAGGATGAGATCCCAGTTGTTGATTCTTTCAAGTGTTTCACGTGCAGTTTGGTTTTTGTTCATGAACTCCCTGCCTACCCCTATGTCTTCAAGGTTTTTACCTACTTTCTCTTCCAATAGATTCAGTGTTTCTGTTTCAATATTGAGATCTGTTATCCATTTTGACTTGAGTTTGGTGTATGGTGATAGACTTGGGTCTATTTTCAGTCTTTGGCATGTGGCAAGCCAATTTTTCCAGCATTTTTTTGTTTTTTTTTCTGGTACCGGGAATCGAACTCATGACCTTGCACTTGCCAAGCACGTGCTGTGCCACTGAGCTAAATCCTCAGCCCCGAGAGGTGCCTGTTTATTTGAAATATGTATGCAGAGAAAGCATCTTAGTTGAAGCCATGCTGAGGCCAAGTCATCAAGAAACCCCAAATCCCAACAAGCCCAAGTTCTCTTAGACTTTTGTCCAAAACAAATTTACCAGTACACACTTAGTATAGGGATATATGTTTTGTGCATTTCAGCCCAATGGAAATTTTGATTCCTCTATTCAGCAAAAAATACTTTCCACCTACCTGTTGTCGGTGTCTCTCATTTTTAGCTATTCCATAAATCTGTTCTCCATTTGTACATGTGCTTAGGTTGGAAATGTCAAGGGGCCACAGGGGAATGTCTATAAAGTTCCTTAAAATGCTTTCGCTAAACTGAGGTGTGTTGGTATTCCAAAGGAGCTGGTACTTCTTTTCTCAATGAGTCTTCTCTTTGCCACTTCCCCTTTACCTTGAACTTTGCATCTAGGAATCAATTCTGTCTAATTTCTACATGTTGTTTCTTGGTGACTGGCTGGATTTATTATACAGATACCCAAAGTAGAAGGAAATGTTGTACATTTTAATGACATAAAGACTGTCCTTACTCTGAAAATCCTTTTTTCTTTTCTCACTATTTTGTTTTGCAGATTTCTTAGCAGAGTTAAGGAATATAAGGATGTTTCACAAACTCACAGCTCTGCAAAAGTACATAGGTTTACCATCTCACTTCATAGGAAACTCTACATAGCACATGTAGGCATTTGTTGGAACTTATATTTTTCATGGTGTTCTAATTCATCAGAAGGGGTGTAGCAAAGACTGACCCTTGGTCACTGACTGTGCATGCATTCCCTGCAGTCCCTCTGCAGGGCTCTTGAGAGTAGAGGTTAGCTACTGAATCATTGGGTGCACAAACCAGTCAGGAAATGGAAGATTTGTCTTTTATATTTCTATTTTATGTATGGGCAGAGTTCAAAGAATTAAATAGTTCCAGAAGATTTACTTACAAGAACAGTAATTCCCTGGTCTTCTACTCTTCCCACGTTTCTTACTTACCATGTTTATCCAGAGACGATACCATGTGATTTTGCAGTTGTAGGACAAATAACTGGTGCTGAATATTCCCCAGAAAACTATGAAAGCACTAAAATGAGTTAAGATGTAGTTTTCTTTCCCCTTATTCTGTTTGTCCTTCTGCGGGGAGAACTGGAGAGATTGGGTTCCCAGAACGCGAGGGATAAAGAGACATGGAATGACGAATAGGAGGTGGTCCCCTACTTTCAGGGAACCACATCATAGAGGTGGGAGGAGGGCTGTGAACAGTGACCCTGCAGGACTTCTCTTGACGAGGAGGATAAGGCAGACTGGAGGACAAAGTGCTTCAGTCTGAAAGGTGTCACAGGTATTATAAGTTCGAGGCAGTGCCTCATGCCCCTTCTCTTTCCTATTCCACCCTGCTTTACAAACTTCTCCAACTAGGCAAGCAATATAATGGACATCACAGGTTAGGACTTGCATTATGCAGCCTAGGATATAGCCAGCAAATGGTAGATAGATAGATAGATAGATAGATAGATAGATAGATAGATAGATAGGACTTTGACATTCTGCAGATACAACCTCTTCCTCCAGGTTTTAGCTTTAGAACACAGGCTTTCAGAGATGTAAAAGTGATGCCACTTGACTTTTAAAACTTTAGTGTGTCTTCACACTGTCTGCCTTGCAGTTTTCTTCAGCTAATAACAATACCTAAGAATGATTTTTAGTAAGAGAAGACATCAGATGAAACCTTACATTTTAGTTTTCTGCAAGGAAATCTCAGGTTGAGAAGTGTCAGTTGATTTAAAAGTTTTACTCCAATATATAGTCCATCTGTGGTCTATTTTTTTAAACTCTTAGGCAAGGATCTGGTAGCTCCACACACTTAATGCTTACTGTCATTCTTGGTCTGTTATTAAAGTGACAGAAAGACTGAGTGCTCTTGATATATATCTTCCTTATTATCTGAGGCCTGAGAACAATTCTTTTTATCCCTGAAAAATGTTTTACTCACCAAAATGCAGAAAGGAGATTTGGGCTCCATTGCAAGTATTTTAAATACTCATTTCTTGGTGATAGTTTCTCAGTCTGGAAATTGATAGCTCAAAGTCTTACATATATAGCAGTGGTGGCAAACCTCTGGCATATGTAGGCTTCACTAATTTACAGAAAACCAAGGGAAGATAGGCCAAATTAGGCAATACAGAAAGGAGTGAAAGGGAAGTAGTTTGGGGGCAATTTACAGTCAGACCTTTGAAAAGGGATCACTATCTGAGAATCTCTTACTTCTAAGAATTAGTTGGTATATTTGATTCATTTCTTTTTTAAACACCTTGCACTTAATGGTAAGTTGAGGAGTTTGGAATTAGATTGGATTGTGTAGACTGAATTACTCAAAACAATAATGTGAGAAGAGCATCTAAAAATTGTAGAGAAATAAGAGTTCTTAATATGATACTCTAAGTGTAAAGGAAAAGCAGGTGCTAATGCCTTTTTAAGTATATGAGAAAGCACTGCATTCTTGCACAGTTAAGGGATTCGTGATGTGAGACGCAGCTCTTCATTTTCTGTTTTCACTGAGAATTCTATACTTACGAAATTGTACAGGTTTTGCAGCCACTGCTGTATAGTGGATTTTTCTTGAGCCTGTGAAACATGACTCTTGTGAATAGGTGGCATCTCAAATTTTCATTTGTTTGCAGAGTTATTTGGCACAAACCTGTGCAAATAAGATGCTCTCTGAGGGTGAAGTTGTTCCAGTGTATTTCTTAGAACAGTTCTTGTTCAGATTTCCATATTCCATACATGTCTTTCTGATGTACTTTAATCTATAGTTAGATTGCTGCCTATAAAATTTCAGTGTCCTCTGTTGGTCTCAGTTTGGTTTTCAGGAGGGCATAGGTACATTTATAAGTTTAAACTCCTTACATTGGTGTTATGGTTTAGATCTAAAAATACCTCCCCCCAATTTTCTTGTGTGTGGAAAGTGATTGGATCATAGAGGCTCTGTACACATTGGTGGATTTATCCATTGGATATGGGTCACTGGGTGTGTGACCTTGGAGGGTGTGTTCTTGTCCTGGGCTCCTCCCTTCTCTCTGCTTCCTGTCATGACATTAGCAGCTTTCCTGGGCCAGGCCCTTCCTGCCTTTGACCTGGCTGACTATGGAATGAACCCTTTTAAACTGTAAGCCAAAATAAACCTCTCTTC